GTGCGGCGGAGGTCTCCGCCTCGGGGAGCCCTGCAAGGAGCTGGGTTTCGGCCCCCCGCCGCGGGCTGGTCGCTCCTGCTCGGAGGAGGCGAGGCAAAGCCCTGGGCGGCCCCAGGGCCTCCCTTCGCAGCCCCCCGCTCCGTTTCCGAGTGGGCTCAGCTCTGGGTTTTTTATGCGTCCCTGACTCCGGGGACGTTCACGGATGCATCAAGCAGAACCCTGCTTAAAGTCCTTTCACTTGAGACCCTATTTTAAATTAATTTCAGTTTGTCTAGGATGTATCTGCTGTTTCAGTTTTACCATTTTGGCTTGTTTATTGCTCAATAAAGGGACAGAGCTGCTTTGGTGCATGGTAGCAACCCTGTGGCATCCCTTGCAGGAATGGTTGGCTCTCAGAATTGCAGGTATCACCTGTGCGGTAGGATTTTATTAGAATCAATTCTACTTGGTGTATTGTTTGTCTGTATGACAACGACTAAGTAGAGCAGGCCTGGGTGCTTATTGGGAACTATTACTAGTGCTTCTTAGGTCATCAAAAGCTTATCCTAACTTTTATTGCAAAAGCTTTTAATATTTTTTCACATCCACTGCAATTTGTTGTGGTCACCCTTTTTTTCATCAAAGTTTAAAATATAGACCCTTGCTTTCAGGGATACAGAGTAAGGTATTTTTTCTGTGGCCTTCCGCTGTTAGTCCCAATTTTGCTTACTTAAAAATGTCACCTGTGGTTCTGCTGGGGAAAACCAATTGAAAAACAGCGTTCTGAGTCTTGGTAGCCCACTTATCTAACCTCTTTCCTGGGAGCTCCTCTAAGCTGGGATGGGAATAGGCCTGTGAGGGCCATCAGAAAAATAGGAGCCAGGAGTGTGTGTGGGGAAAGTCACTGGTGTATGGTCTACTTCTGACACCAGTAGCGGCACTAAATTAAAGCAGTGGTTTTCTGCAGTAGCCTTCTGATGGGATCAGTAAGGGCATCATCAATATAGTCTTAAAACTTAAATTGTACTTGAGACTCAATCTGAATGTAAGGCAAAGCGTGGACTATTTTATAGTAAGGATTATGTGATGGGACGGCTGTAATTGCAGAAGATCACTTGACTCAGCAGGTCGCTTCTCATCCAATGTTCTAAATGTATTACCTTGTATACTTTGCTTAAGCCTCACTGAATTAACTTGCAATTGAAGTTCCTGTCTTTTCTATTTTAAATGCATGAAAAAGAAGGTGCTCAATTAAACGGCAAGGTGACAGATTCGTAACTAGGAAGAGCACTTCCTTCTAGGCAAAAAGATACAATGGGATTGTGAAACTTGTTTGGAAGTCGCTGAAGCCAAGAAGAAGTCCTGGTTAGTTTTGTCTGTACCCTATAAAATCTGGTTGACCATGAACCATTTTCCAGAGAGACATTAAACTTCACAGAGTGAGATGATCTCAGCTGCAGGATTGTGATTGGGATATCCAGTGCTTACTGCTTTTAAACAAAACAGGCCTGTAAAATATTAGCCTGTTCTGTCATGATGCGTGTGTTAAAACTTGGAATCCTGACTCAGTTTCAAAAGTCATAAACTGAGAAGTGTTTGAAGCTGGAGAAGGGAGGGAGGGAAGAAATGGGGGAGGAGGAGGAAATACTAGCATGAGCCTGCCTCCTGCACAGTTCTTATCCCTCCCTGTGATTCCCATGTAAGGTGGAAAACTGCTGTTCCTGACTAACCCCTGCGAGTCCTATATTCCTCTGAACATAAATACCCGGGCCGAAGGTTGTTAGGGTACATACTGACTGTGCTGAACTCTTCTCTGTTTGTGATTTGGCGAGTTAGTCATACTTCCAAGTTTAACATCACTGTTGTAGCTGAACTGGCTTCTGTTTTCCTGATGCTTGTAGGCACTCTTTCTGGTATGAATAATCGGTTCCAGGATTGTAGTTATGAGGAAGCTTCTCTCTGGTTTTCAGTGCCAGTTAGATTGATGTGGAAAATATTTATTTCTGTTAAAAATCCCTTTTTATTAGAAGGTATTTTTTAAGAAAGCTTCTAAATATATTATTTATTTTTATAATAAAGTTGTTTGCAGCGTCTTCACGTATCAGCTGTAAAATTTGCCAGGTTAGGAGCTGTGTCACCAAATAACGTTTCAAGTGCACTGGAAATGAATTTGCAGAAGTGGGATTCACAATGAGACTGAGAGTCGAAAGCCTAGAAGCAAATCTGTAAGCAAGACCAACTGTGAAAATGTGGGATCTGCCAATCTGTCTGACTGATGTCCATAGTATTTATTGTGGTGCAAACGTGACTTGTTGAGGATACTTATTTAAAAAAATCAGTAGGCTATCCAGTATTACAAGACTGTTATTTCATATAAAAGACTTTAGGATTTTTGAGAAGAGCG